TCTCTCTCTCTCTCTCTCTCTTTCACTCCCTCTCTCTCTCTTTCTTTCCTGCAAGACCGTTCTTGGAGCTAGGGCGCTTCAACAAATTATTGTTGTTATTGTAATGACATGGGACATCGTGCTCGTATATATTCGTAGCCCCCACCGCGCACCCTAACCGCACCTAAACCCAACTAGTTTAACTAGTTTAACAGTTAGTTTAGTTTTACGAAACTGGTTAGGATATTGTAGGGCGTTCGGGCAGTATTAGAATCAGTATAAATAGACTCGCTCGGACAGAGAGGAATATTAGTTATTACATGGACAGTTACTATGTAAGATGTAGAGAACGGAAGACGAGACGCGGGACCTATATAGGCATGGTTTACGCTGCTACTATGCCTTGCTATCTATACGAAACATCTGCACTATTTGCTAACTCTACGCTGCTACGATTCCGGAGCTGAGGTTATCACCGTTCAAGTAGAAGTACAAAACACACCTCGGCGGAATACCCCACATGATGTACTAACGCTGCCAAAATGCTGCCAAAATATGCCAAAATGCTGCCAAAATGCTGCCAAAACCAATGCTGCTAGTGCGGGGGTGGGGGCTCATAAAATGCGGAGATCTCATTCAGAGGGGTAAAATCATATATTATAGATATCACTGCTTGTGTACTCCTGCAGTTATATTTAATACGTATACTGTTTAATATTCGAAAAACGAATCGGTCGGCATGCGTGTATGCCATGTCTGTTTCCTTTGGAGCCAGAGTAATCCGTCAATATGGCTTGCATTCGCAGAAAATCCTAGGCGTTCATGCTTGCGTGCGTGCGTGACAGCGTGCACAGTACTATCAAGAGTACTATTTCACTCTGTTGCGGCGCTCGCGTGCGCCATGCGTCGCTGTGTCACGTCCACTACAGATTTATGCTATCGTATTCCTACCGCTGTCGCAGTTCTGTCGTCACACAACACACGCAGCTCGCATGGATTTCCGTGCGTTTGTGCGTGTGTGCGCTCGTCAGGATATAGTGCTTGCATGCGCTCGCATGCGCTCGCATGCGCTCAGGGTAGTTTTACCAGCAAGACTTGCCCACAATCACTACGGAAATTATACCACTCACTATATCTATATCTATATATTGATTTATCCGCCTGTCTATCTTATCTATCTATCTATCTATCTATCTATCTATCTATCTATCTATCTATTTATCTATCTATCTATCTACCTATCTATCTATCTATCTATCTATCTATCTATCTATCTATCTATCTATCAGAGACTAATCTATCTATCTATCCATGTATTTACTTCATGCAGATCCATCGATCCACCGATCCACCTATATCTATCTATTTGTCTATCTATCTATCCATCCATCCACCCATCCATCCACTCATCCATCCATTCATCCATCCATCCATCCATCCATCCATCCATCCATCCATCCACCCATCCACCCATCCACCCATCCATCCATCCATCCATCCATCCATCCATCCATCCATCCA